AACTACTTACTATATGAACGTACGCAGAAATGGCCCATGAGGAGTTTCATTGACAGCCAGTACAAGTGATGAGGTTATTACCCACAGCTGATCAACAATTCACTATAAGTGTGTATGCATTACCTACATCTGTGTAGAAAATAACTACTTACTATGTCAACGTACGCAGAAATGGCCCATGAGGAGTTTCATTGAGAGTCAGTACAAGTGATGACCTTATTAACAACATCTAATCACCAGTTCACTAGAAGTGTGTAGGCATTACCTACATCTGTGTAGAAAATAACTACTTACTATATGAACGTACGCAGAAATGGCCCATGAGGAGTTTCATTGACAGCCAGTACAAGTGATGAGGTTATTACCCACAGCTGATCAACAATTCACTATAAGTGTGTATGCATTACCTACATCTGTGTAGAAAATAACTACTTACTATGTCAACGTACGCAGAAATGGCCCATGAGGAGTTTCATTGAGAGTCAGTACAAGTGATGACCTTATTAACAACATCTAATCACCAGTTCACTAGAAGTGTGTAGGCATTACCTACATCGGTGTAGAAAATAACTACTTACTATATCAACGTACGCAGAAATGGCCCGTGAGGAGTTTCATTGAGAGCCAGTACAAGTGATGAGGTTATTACCCACATCTGATCAACAATTCACTAGAAGTGTTTAAGCATTACCTACATGCACGTTTGTCATGCACCAATAACTACTCACAGTAGCATAATTGTAGATAGGAAATATAACATGACAGCAAATGCATCACAACTTCAACAATAGAATAGAGAATAACAACATCACTTTAGTCATTAACCAATAATCATCAAATACATCACAATAACTGATTTACATATGTTTCATGACAAGTGGACATTAAGATAATGCTTCCACTTAATGTTTCATTGTCAAGGACATCACTCACCCAACCGTCCACAGTAATTACAATGATATAACAATAACAGTTAAAGCATTGACCAACAAAAAACATACCTAACAACATAATGCCAACATGGCCATTAACCAAAAACCAACATGGCCAATACATTAAACTATTTACATTTTTTCAATCAAAAAAATGGCCCTACAGTGCTAACAAAAAAATGACGCATCACATGGTGTACATCCCAAATCAACTTGGATTTGGGTTTTTGCACGTCCTTCTAGTATGTCCAACTTGATGACATTGAGTACAGCGGTATATCTTTTTGTCTTGGTATTGTGACTCATGCCTTGTAATCTTAGGCCTTCCAGGAGCCCGACTTGTGATTGGGGGTTGCAGCAAAATTTGATTAGATATATTCTCCATCCTATAGTCATTTAAATTTGGCATGTCAATTGTGACCACCGGAATCATGCACCTCCCATAAATCTTCTGCTGACATGAAAATTTGTACCATCCCTCAATGTAATCATAAATATCACCATGGACAGTTTTCACCGCTGCACAAGCATGCCTACATGGAATCCCCGTCATCTGCCACTCTGCACAACTACAATGGTGCAAGCTGAGACTCACTCGGTGGTGTCCACGTGAGGTTTGGACATTGACATTTCCCCTACCATAATCTGTTGTAATGAACTGCTTACTAACCTCCACATTTTCCTTTACTTTGGTCTCTATCTTTGGCCCTATACAACTCTTCCATTTTGTCATTGCCACACTTGATGCTTGCATCTTTTTCGCAACTTTCTCACGATGCTCATGAATCATTTGGGCTACATTGTGCTTTCTTTCCTTGACCATCCAAGCATTGAATGATTCAGCAATATTGGTGGTTATATTATCCCATCGTTTATATGGGAACTTGCTCACAGCCCACTTATCTACATCCCCATGATTGTTAAGCCAGTCAAATAACTCTGGAGAGAACTCCCTCATTTCTGCCATTGCCTTGTCAAATTCATCGTCAACCCTAGCCCATGCAATTTTATTAAGAAGCATTAATGCATCCTCTTTGGAGCGTGTTCTGCTCCTTTTACCTCTGTTCAATTTCAGCCACTCTGCACAAAAGTTTTCCTTAACGTGCCTATAACAATAAGCATGCCTGTCAGAACCGAACACTGATTGTACAGCTCCTATTATGGCATTATGACGGTCTGACACAATAGTTAATGGCTTTGAGCCAACTATCTTTTTAATCATAGACATAAACCAAGTCCAGTCATCAATTGTCTCTCCCTTTACAATAGCCATTGCAAAAGGCAACAGCTCATTATTTGCATCATATGCTGAACCTGCGAGGAGTGTTCCCTTATATGGTCCAGATAAATGAGTTCCGTCAACATACAGAACGGGTCTAGCACCAGCCAAGAAACCCTCTATACAACACCCGTATGCGATGAACACACGCTCAAATCTGTAGTTAGGACCAGCTACCCATTCAGCTACTGTTTTCTCATCGGTTTCCTTCAGCCTTTGGCATATCCATGGTATTAACATATATGAATGTTCAGGTCTACCATGTATGTCTTCTATTGCCTTCTCCTTCGCCCTATATGCCTGTTTATATGTAACATTCAGACCATATTCTGTTTGCAATTTTGTCCTTATTTCACTTGCCCGCTTGTCAACATGGTTCCTCACCTCATCGATAATTATACAGGATGTCATATTAGATCTTGCACACTGTCTAACTTGCAAATTATCTTGGGCACTATGGACATGCTCATTAATGAATGTGGTGACACGAAGATATGGAACATTCTTCCCCAATGCACTTGCACATATTTTCCATGGACAACCTTCCACTTTGCAAATGACAGACATTCTCTCTTTGCTGTTCCTCAAAAATTTAAGCTTAAAGTTATGTGCGATGCTAAACTTGTACAAATACTCCCTAAACAAACCAGCATGTGCAATTTTCTGCCCCACGCCTGTAAAAAGTTCCAACCATTTACTATAGTTCATCTCAGTAATTTGTGCCACTGCATTCCCTCCACTGGAGCTTGGGCCTTCATGCGGGCCATCACTGCCTACATGTGAGCCACTTGAGACTTGATAAGGAATGCATTCAGCAGTACTTTCATGACTCACATGCTCATAATCGTTTCCCAAACTGATATAAGATACAGCCATTTCCTGGCGTGACAATCCCAACCATCTTTCAATTTCGGATCTGCATACATAATAACTACAATTGTTAGCATATTGACAACATCTGTTCCTACATTCACTACATTATCACAGCAAATAGCAACTTACACCAGCAAAGATTTTTTTACTTACATTTGTGTATCAGTCATCTCATGTGGTTCTGTCTCAATTCTGCATGCACGATAACTACATTTGTTAGCATATTCACAACATCTGTTCTTACATTCACTACATTAGCACAGCAAATAGCAACTTACACCAGTAAAGATTTTTTTACTTACATTTGTGCATCAGTCATCTCATGTGGTTCTGTCTCAATTCTGCATGCACGATAACTACATTTGTTAGCATATTGACAACATTTGTTCTTACATTCACTACATTAGCACAGCAAATAGCAACTTACACCAGCAAAAAATTTTTTACTTACATTTGCGCATCAGTCATCTCATGTGGTTCTGTCTCAATTCTGCATACACGATAACTACAATTGTTAGCATATTAACAATATCTGTTCCCACATTAACTACATTAGCACAACAAATAACAACTTCAACCAGAAGAAATTTATAACTTACATTTCTTGATCATTGATTTTATGTCTTTCAGTCTCATTGCCTTTCAATGATACATACACATGCGCAATGATGTCATTATGCACAAAAAGATTTCTAACTCCGCTATCATCAACAAGATTAATTAATGTCCTCTCATCATACTTGACAGTATACTTCATGTCCCAACTGCTACCATCATAACCACTGCATTCTGATATAGTTGCCCTTAAATCTTCAAGTGTCATTCCATCTTTTATCGTTTCTGCATGTACTCTGCCTCCATGATATCTAACTTGACCTTCAGGACTAATAACAAATTCTCCATCTACATGAAAGTAACAAAATAATTCCTTCCCAGGAGTGGAGCCAATATTACAATTCATTGTGCAAGCCAAGCTGAAACAATTGAATAATCATTACGTTAGTTCACCGATAATGATATTTTCTCACTTCTTTAAATAAAGATAAATGACAGTACCTCTTCACTCATTAACAACTTTAGTTTATGCTTTCACACTTTAACATTAGCTATTAACTATAATATCTACCCTATCATAACTGTCATGCCTCAAACTTCAATGTCATGCAATCAGCTTCGACTTTCTCCCAAAAACAATCCTCCATTCCCCAACACTAATCACTGTAAACCCTACCAAAAAGCAACAAACCCCTATGGATAAATGCTTCAGCTCAGGCAAATAAAAATACGAACTTCACTATACCAACGAAACGCTATAAGTACGCATGCTTCGACCTTTGTACGTAACCCCATTTACTGTATCAGCTTCGTCGGAGAAAACGTTGATAGACCCATATTGATAAATGATCATGGTAGGGGATGAAAAGACGAAGATTGTGGTGCACAAAATTACTTCACTTGCTTTTTTCAACCTCATTTAGATTTCAAGACCAAGAACGTCTACCCAACCATACCCACAATCACAATACTTCAAAATGAAGAACAAAACCACCGTGATTAGACCCCAGGATGAATAGACGATAACTGTGGTGTGAGAAATTACTAACCTTGCTTGCTTCAACCACCTTCCAAGATCCCACCGTCCAACGTTCTCCACCTTTCTGCAGTATAATTCTACAGAGCCATAAGTGTCATCGACATTTCCTTGCTTCAGTATAATTCTTTTTGCTTTTACATCAGAAGGGCAAATTTGTCCATTTGCCCTCATTATACAAATGACAGATTGGGTCAATGACCCAATCTGTCATTTCTACAATTCCAGGACCCAAACTGAAATTGTATATATTGGAGTGGCTTTATCTGTCATTTTCCCAAAAAAAAATTATATTACGCACAAAAAACTGTTTTATTTTTATAGGCTCGATGCAACACAAAAGAACCATAAAATTTTGACAAAACCCGAAAGGAAGAAGTGTGTAACAGTAGATTTACGTTATATATAGAGACACAAGCTAAGCGCCTAGTTCGTCATCACAAGAAGGGAAAATCCCAAACACAGACAAAACCAACAATGTCGTCTTCAACCTCATTACGCTTCTCAGTTCTCCTTCTCCCGTTACTTTTTCACTCTTCATCTTCTTCTTCTTCAGAACCCTCCCTTCAAGAAAGCTTCGCTCAGTGTCTCTCTCTGAACTCAGACAAATCCTTCCCTTTCTTCGCCTCCATCTACGCCCAATACAACTCCTCCTTCACCACTGTCCTCAATTCCTCCGCCCAAAACCTCCGTTACTTACTCCCTTCTGCTCCAAAACCCGAACTCATCTTCACTCCCACCTCCGAATCCCACGTCCAAGCCTCCGTAATCTGCTCCAAGAAGCTCAACATTCACATCAGAATTCGAAGCGGAGGCCATGACTACGAAGGCATGTCTTACGTTTCAGAGATCGAGACGCCCTTCATAGTCATTGATCTCGGCAAGCTCCGTGGCATCAACGTCGATATCCAAGACAACTCTGCTTGGGTTCAGGCCGGCGCGACCATCGGCGAGGTGTATTACCGGATTTATGAGAAGAGCGCCGTGCACGGATTCCCGGCGGGTCTGTGTACGAGCTTAGGTGTCGGTGGGCATATTACTGGAGGGGCGTACGGTTCGATGATGCGGAAGTACGGTTTGGGAGCGGATAATGTTGAAGATGCGAAGATTGTGGATGCGAATGGAAGGATTCTAGACAGAAAAGCCATGGGAGAGGACCTGTTTTGGGCTATCAGAGGCGGAGGAGGAGGAAGCTTTGGGATACTTTTACGGTGGAAGATCAAGCTTGTTCCTGTTCCTCCGACTGTGACCGTTCTTACTATTACCAAAACTTTGGAGCAGGGAGCTACTTCACTTCTTCATAGATGGCAACAGGTAATGATGATGGGACTTTTGGTTCCTTAATTATTTTCAGTCGCATTATTTATCGTTTCTAAATGATGCATATAACATACTGTTTTTACTATACTAATTAATTTATTAAAATAGATTATAACTAGATGTTATGTGATGTAATTAGTGCATTTTATAAAAATGGAGAAAGAAGTGCAGTAGTGGTTCCATTTGGGAAGTAGAGCCTACAAGTTGGTGGAATGACTTTAGTGCTCATCACTCTAAAATTATCAAATTTAAATTGTTCAGATCTAATTTAATTTATTTTTTATTTTAATTTTTTAAAAATTATTTTAATAAGTATATAATCTAAAATAAAAACAATATCTTGATTATCATTTTTAAAAAATAAAATTTTCATTTAAAAATAATCTAGATGGCTAAGATCTAACAAGTTTTGGTCCTTTTCAAGAGTGATGAGCACCTAAGCTAAATCATAAATTTGGAGAGGTTTTAATGCTCATATTATAATTTGAATAATATCTGTGCATGCTTCATGCAATTATTATCAGTAATAGAGTTGGATTAAATATATAATTTATTCCCTCCAATTCCAAATATATATATGACCTAGTTGATGAATATGTCTTGATTTTAAATATAAGATTTTAATATTTTTTGTTTCTTTTATTAAATTTTTTTTTCCATATATTATCCTTTGCATAGTTTTTTTCATTGTTCTATATCATTTTTATTCATTTAGCGATCGCTCTTCATGTGAAAAACTTCACCTTTAAATTTAAATAGTTAAAGAAAGGGGTTGCATATAAAAAATAGAGGGAGGGGTATTTTAGGTGACGTCATACATATTTTTACATAATAATTATCATTAACAAATTTAAACAAGATTTTTAAGTCTCATGTATACATTTAGAACCACAAAAAGTGAGAGTACTTTCTCTTTCGTCACGTCCCGTGTCTTTTCTACATTAACTTTATCACTCAACAATTTCCTTGCTCTTCTACTTTTATTAAAGAAAAGGTTTGAGGTGAGTAAGAAAATACAACTATAATACTATCTTTAATATAATAACTAGTTAACTAATTTGATAAAATTAAAAAAATTAGTTAAGGTAATTATTTATAATAAATAGGTGTTGTTTTTTCTAAAGTATCCTTACTAATTAAGTGTATTTGGCTAGGATTATCATTATTATAAGGACTATTCTAAAAAGAAATGAATAAATATAAAAGACAAAGTGAATTAACATCTTATATTTAGGTTTAAAATAAAACTCAAATGAATTCTTATATTAATAACGTGAAGTAGTATTATTACAGTGATTAAAGCTTTAATCTATTAATTTGTGACAGGTGGCGCCATTCATTGAAGAGAATTTGTTCATTAGAGTACTGATTCAACCAATTGGCAACAAAACTGCCGGCAGAACAATCTCAACGTCCTATAACGCGCTCTTTTTGGGAGATCCCAAAAGGCTCCTTCAAGTGATGAAGCAAAGCTTCCCTGAACTTGGCTTAACAATCAAAGACTGTTACGAAACAAGCTGGATCAAATCTGTGCTTTACATCGCCAGCTATCCAAGAGACACACCCCCGGAAATTCTGCTTCAAGGCAATTCATCGTTCAAGAACTACTTCAAAGCCAAATCTGATTTTGTTCGAGACCCAATTCCGAAATCTGGGCTTGAAGGCTTGTGGAAGAAGCTTCTAGAAGAAGAAAGTCCCTTGATGATCTGGAACCCCTATGGAGGAATGATGAGCAAGTTTGCAGAATCTGATAGCCCTTTCCCTCACAGAAACGGAACACTGTATAAAATTCAGTATGTTACGTTGTGGGAAAACAAAAATGAAGATGCCACACAACACATAGATTGGATGAGAGGGCTTTATGATTACATGGCAGCTTATGCGTCAAAATCGCCAAGAGAAGCATATGTGAATTATAGGGATCTTGACCTGGGCATGAATAAGAAGAAAGGTACAAGCTATAAAGAAGCTAGTGCATGGGGAAAGATGTATTTCAAGGGTAATTTTGACAAACTTCTGAAAATAAAGAGTGTGGTTGATCCAGAGAATGTTTTCAGGCATGAACAGAGTATTCCCCCACTGGCAATTTCCAAAAGAACTAAGAAGCACAAGAAAGTCAAGAAATGCAAGGAATGCGAGAATTCGGAATGAATACACGGTTGGTTAAGTTAACAAATAGGCGGTATAGACGAATAATGAAGGGTTTTATATTTTGTCACTTTGGATGGTCTTAATTATTGATGTGTTATAAAAACACTGATAACATATGTTTGAAGGGAAGATGTGTCGGTGAGGAAGCATGTGTGTGTTCCACTTTTATCTGTTGTGTGTATGTGTGTGTGAGAGAGAGATATATGATGTAAGCATTATATATTTTGCTTTCAAGGAACGAGCTAGTGCTGTAATTTTCTCAAGAAGTTAACAACATAATCAAATTTATTCAGCTCAATTCAACTTAATTTGTAATCTTTCATCCCCTTCCTTCCTATAGAACTATTTTACGAAAATCTAAAAATGATGGATTGACTTGGGAGAAAGAAAAATGAACACTGGATTCAAGAGAGAATGAAGAAATGCTGCACATAGATGTGGATTCATTAACTTGAAAATATTCATGTCATAAGATGTATTTTTCCACGAAAAAATTCTTAAAAAATCTTTATTGAAAATTTGTTTACTCAAAGGTATTTATAGACGCTTAAGTTTTTGAACAAGTGCAATTCATCTTTAGTTGTGTTCAATATATTGGAGATATATAGGTTGCATATAGAAAAGTCTTATTGAAGATTAATTACACCTTTTTTTTTTGAACTACGTACGACAAAATGATATATTAGAGAGAGAAAGTTCAAATATTACAAATAGTCAGATGGCCCATGCTAACAATCTTGTAAAAAGAAAAAAAAAGAAAAGAAAACTACTTTTAGTGATTACATCAATATGATAAGAAGAAAATTCCAAAATAAGTGATAATATTTCTTGCCAAGTGATTGAAGGAACATTAGGGGAGAGAGTTGGAAGGCGTAAGAAACACCTGTCAAAAAGTGGTTGTACAAAGGAGGCTTCAAATGAGGGGCCATGATATGAGAGTGATTGATCTAGTAAAGTGCAGCTCGAAGGCATTTTGAATTGAACTTAGTACCAACAACAGGTGTATTTCTCCAAAGAAATTATTTGATACATTGATTAGAATAACAAATTACTCCTGCGTAATAATGTCTTCTCTTCCTTTTGCATTTAAAGAAAATGACACCTCACTCATTATGATTAAGGATGAAATGGTCCTGATTAAGTCGGGTAGAACTGTGAGCTAGTTGAGCATTAGAGCAATTCTGGAAAGCAAATTCAAAGAAAAAGCTGAAGAACTTAAATTCTTGAATAGCAGAGACTGGAGAGATTTTCATCCCTTGATGAACAACTAGATTTCACTTCCCCAAAATAATGTTAAGAATGTACATGATTTCATGGGCAATATATGGGTTATTATCGTTGCAGAGTTGAATAAGTGTTTGCTTGACCCAAAAGATGAGATCATCAAATTTAGAAGTTAAGAGTTTAATCAATAGACCTCAAACCAAATGGCTTTAGTAAATGGACAAGTGATAAACAAATGCTCCAAAGTTTTTTCCACATCACATCGAAAAACACATAAACCAGAAACATTAATTCATATGATGGAATTTCAAGATGTCAAAAGATGGAAAAGCCTCATTTAGTAGTTTTTGTATAAACAAAAGCTGCTTATAGGGTAGTTGCATTTTCCAAAGAAGAGACTAGAAGTCATCCAAGTTTTGATTGAGGTTACTAGTGAATGCCTAAATTTGCCTAACTTCATCTTTAACTATATAATGACTAGAGGAATTGCTAGACCAAACAATAAGATCAGGGGAATTTAGAATAGATATTGGCAAGTTGAGAATTGAATGTGCTATATCTCTTGGGTAGAGTGATTTGACAAGGAAAATCCCGGGCAATTTGGCTCAAGGTAGAGGGGGCATGCACTAAGAGATCAACCACAAGTTTAATGTTAGTAACTCGAGTATGATCATGATGTATGGGCCACCAAAAATAGTGGTTTAAAGTAATGTTACATTAGTGTGTTCAGCTATTCCCTTCTATATCCTAGTGGAGTCATAAGGCCATTTTATAATTGAAGGGGTAGTGATATCAATATATTTTAACTTCAAGGTGGAGGCAAGCAAAGAAGATTCGTGAGTAGAGAGTATACGTAATACCTGCTTAGCTAATAGTGCCTAATTTACAATCTTTGCAAGTTGCAAGCCTAAACCTCCTTGGTTGACTGCTGAAAATAAGATGAATTTTCTTCTTGTGATTTGGGGTTCCCAAGAAAATGGTGCAAGAAGCATCTATCTTATCACAAGTAGTTTTACGCTAAAACAAGACAAGATATGTATGTTAACAAAGGCCAAGACAAATTTAATTAAGGTTAGCATAGATGCTTGTAAAAGAAGTTGGCTTTGCCAAGACAATATGGGAGCCTTGCTTCTAACTAGGTCAACCTAGGTACCAAGATATTTACCTAATCTTGAAGAGAAGTGAAGTCCTAGAAGTTTGGATAGATTTTGCTTTATGTGGTGTGGGACATTAGGGCTGAATACAATGAAGATTTACCCTTGTTACATTCATGTCCTAACCAAAGAGCATAGATGTTTAATATAAGCTTGGCTGAGAGAAAATTAGAAGCATTACTTTCTAGAAATAAAAAAGAATCAACTGCATAGAGAAGATGGGAAATAGGCTGAGCTACCTGATAGATTTTTATTACCTTCCAAAATCTAGAAGATTGGAGCTGGCTAATCATACAAGAAAGTACATTTGCCAAGAGAATATATGTGTAAGGGGACAAGGGGTCCCCTTGCCTAGTACCTTTATTTGGAATGATGACCGGAGTAAATTTCCCAATAAGAATGATCTTGATCTACTTGTTAGGGAAATTCATTATTTTCATTACCAATTCAATAAAATTCCATGATAGCTTATTAAAAGTGATTGAAAAATCAATTTTAATATAAGCTAATTTTTTTCCTATCAGAGTAAGACCTTAAATCTAACAAAGTAGATCAGTCGCTAAAAGTATATTATAAAAAATAATCATGTAAATGACATTATAAAGGCTTATTGGTTTGAAACCTTTGAATGACCGAGGTCTCTTAGATTTGGGAATGAGAATGATGTGTGTTTTGTTCATACTCTACAACAAAAATTCTTAGTCCTAGGTGTGTACCACCATTTTATTAACATTATTGTTAACTATACTCCAATAGGTTAACAGAGTAAGGAAGAAAGGAATTGTAATCAAGTGGTTTTGTGATAAAATTGGAAAGAACCCAACTTCTCCTTGTCATATCCTATTAATTATAACATGAAAAATGAGAAACTTAGGATAGACCAATGGCCAAGTAGTATAGTAGAACAATTTTTGAAGGAAAATCTAAAGAAGGACAGGACTGTCATTTTGAAAAGTTTTGATCAAGGAAGGGCAAAATTAAAAATTATACCTAAAATTCTTGAAAATTCTCAAAAATTAGTGAAAAATAGAATAAAGAGTCTACAATAGTATTTGAGGTATGAAAGATGAAAAAAGCATGAAAATAATTTATTTTAGATTTTTCTCTGATTTTAGGGAATTTTGGTTAATTAGGAAAAATTAGACAAAATGAATTATTTAAAATATGTAAAGGCCTCAATAATTGATGAGCCTTGTCACTAGACTATTAAATAAAACTAAGCTAAATGTGTCACCTCATTTATTACCCTATTATACAATGATTGGAACCCTTTAGGATCATTATATGAGCCTTAAATATGATAAAATGCTCAAAAATGTGAAACTTTTCAAAATTTTAGTCCAAGTTGCGATTTGGTACTTTCAGGTTGTAACTTGAGGTCACAGAGGCCATTTTTGCTTCCAGGTCACAACTCAAATTCCCAGGTTGCGACCTGGGGTCAGAGAGAGACCTTTGGTACTATTCATCATTCATAGAAACTTTTGCTAGTTTTGAAAATTCATAACTAAATGTAAAAAAATTGAAATGAAGCAGTTCTAATTTCTATTTGAAGCTTGTCATGTATACTATAAGAGAAAAATATTCATTGGCCTCAGATCATCACGAAAAAAGAGCCAAAAAATAGAAACTGGAACCATCTCATGTCGATTTTTCCAATCTTCCCGTATTTTAGCCCAACTTTTGGAAGGGCATATCTCTTAACACAAAACTCCAAATTTGGTGATTTAAAACTTGTTTTAAAGCTCAGGATGTGTGCCATACCAAATTTTATGGGTAGAATCAATCATTTGCCATACTTCCACTTTGTCACTGTTTCATTGCTTAATTAGAGATAGTTTATCCCCTAACTTGTATTAATAAATCATAATTAACTCTTTCCTGGCACAATACCTTTCCATTCATGCATTAGCTATTCCCATACAGCATCATAGTCAATTGCATATGCCATCATCATAAGTATCTTTTTTTTTATACCAAAAATCATCATAATTATCATCACACAACCTTTATGGCACATGTATAACATATATTGTCGTATAAATTATACAATATAATACCATAAATTTCTTCAATTCTTTTCCTCTTTCCTTGCTTTCACTTCATGTATCCTTTACTTAATCATTATCACCTATTATGATTAGTTAATGAAGAGTAAGATTCAGAAGAATTTCAGTAGTAAACATTACCATTTATGCATGCAAGATGGATGTAAGTGTATGACATGCTTACTTAATCTAACTCATACTTACGTATAACACATTCTTATGCTCAATGTCTTATATTAACATGCATGGCCATGAAAAACATCAAAGAAACAGCGCATCATACTAGCATTAACATCTCATAATATCATCAAATCACTTAATGCACATCAACACACAAACATGCACATCAAGCACACAAGAAATGTAAGTTCACTACCTTGTAATCTTTAAGTTTTCTTCTTGCTCCCTTTTGCTTCCAACATTAAAGTTGCTTACTCAGCCTTTACCATTTCTTTTTCTTGATGTCTTGTGGCCTTAAATGCATCAACACATCATTGCCATTCACTTATTAGAGCCATGCTAATCAACAACATCAATACTTTGTTTCCTTTAGACTATGTTAACTTCTAACCTTTGAACTTGATTTCTAACCTTTCTAAAATTAATTCCACATTCTATTCCCACACAATTTTGCTTGTGGAATCCATTTCCAATATGAAAATAATTAAAATCAAACTCCTTCCCTATGAACTAGCCTTGACTGAATAGTATGTACTTGGGGTCCAAAATTTTTATTTTCAATTCTAATGCTTCCAAACTTGTTTTCTTACCTTTGCCCCACACAATTTTTCATTTTAAACACATTGGAAGCCTCAAAATTATCAAAATCCAATCCTAGCCTCAAGATCTAGCTTGGATGAAATATTACTTAAGTT